GGAAAAAAGCCAACAAAACCCAGCCATGATTTACAAGGGGCAGCTACACATAATTAAAAAGAACCCCCCCCCCCCCCACACACACACACACACACACAGAGTTTCATGCTAACGCTTTTGAAACAATGTGGCCCTAGCAACACACATTTGCAACACATTTTGGTATCACCATATCTGCATTTTTCCAAGAGACAAGTTTTATACCAAAAATGTCACTCAGTTCAACCAGCAGCCACATACAGGGCCTTGGGGTGTAGCCCTGGCCTGTAGGGGGTCCTCAAAATCACCCTGGGAAGGATTTTGGGTAGCTCCAGTGATCCTTCCAGGGCAGGGCTACAGGATGTTTTCAGAGCTACACAAGAAGAATTTGCACTGACCGGCCATGTGAGTAAACACAACCAGGCGCAGCAATGGTGGAAAGGGATGCAGAATGGGGAGCTCGGGCCACTGGCTCTATGGACATGGGGATCATTCAGCAGACCTCCCTCTGCCAGGGCACAAACTTGTGCCCAACCCTGACACAGCATAAGGAAGCCTGCACCAGAAACCTCCTTCCCCAGCCTCCATGCCAGACACTAGAATAGTGAGCCAGAATCTCACACCCATGCCAGCCCTGTCCCCCAGCAGCAACTTATGTGGCTCCTTCCAATGCCCAACCTGATGCACCCATGGAGGATTGCTGCTTTTGAGAGTGTGACACCCTTCCCAGAGCTTCCCTTTTCTCCCCCCCCCCCCCAAAAAAAAATCAGGAGATCAGGGGAACAAAAAGATCTGCGGTGGACATGAATTCTGGATGTGCACAGCAGCACACAATTCCCCTTTGGCAGCTCACAGCCTGCAATTTCAGGACATTATTCTGACCCTTCCTGACAGCTAGTTGTAAAAGTGTAGCCCTGCAAGGGACTTTGAGAAGCCCAATACAGCTCCACGCCCCGAGGCGGACTAAATAATCCATCATGACATAAAAGCAGCGTGTCCCAACAAAACCTCAGCAAAGTGCGATGCAGCAGCATCATGAAGACTTACCCTGCTGTCTCAACAGAAGGGGATGAGCCAGTCCTGGCTGTCAAGGCCTTTCAGGGGTTCTGAAAGGTCGCAAGGGACTTTGAGAAGCCCAATACAGCTCCACGCCCCGAGGCGGACTAAATAATCCATCATGACATAAAAGCAGCGTGTCCCAACAAAACCTCAGCAAAGTGCGATGCAGCAGCATCATGAAGACTTACCCTGCTGTCTCAACAGAAGGGGATGAGCCAGTCCTGGCTGTCAAGGCCTTTCAGGGGTTCTGAAAGGTCTTCTCCCAGTAAAGCCGGACTGAACGGGATCGGAGGGGGGGACCCACCCGCCCAGAGCAACCCCCTTGTCTGGAAACTGCCCTGCCTTTTTGTTCAGCAGAAGCTGCCCAGGAAGGGGACACAGCTCTTCCCCGGATCCGGGGGAGGGAGACGTGGCCGGCTGGGCTCTCACTGGAAGCGGCTTTTCCTGCTAACTCCATTCCTTGCTTTCCCTCTGACGCCAGCAGCTCACTCGTTCTGCGAGCCCGGGCGACCTGTACTTACACTGGGCGCACGTGGAAACGCGCCGGCTGGGTTCAGACTTCCCACCAGCCCGGGGTTGCGTCACATGCCCCCTGCAGCGGCTGAGGCAGCACCAGAGAGGCTGAACGTGGATACCTGCTGCATTCTCGGGGGGTGAGTCATGCCCTGCACTCCTGCCATAAAGCGCCGGTTCTGGCTGCAAAAGTGGGTGGTGCCCAGATTAGCATAGGCTGTGGGAGAGTGATTCACAGGCAGCTGAACTCTGCTTTTCTCTCCTCAGCACCTGTTCAATTAGTGCGCTAGCTCCTAAGGCTGCATAGGAGGAACGTGGATACCTGCTGCATTCTCGGGGGGTGAGTCATGCCCTGCACTCCTGCCATAAAGCGCCGGTTCTGGCTGCAAAAGTGGGTGGTGCCCAGATTAGCATAGGCTGTGGGAGAGTGATTCACAGGCAGCTGAACTCTGCTTTTCTCTCCTCAGCACCTGTTCAATTAGTGCGCTAGCTCCTAAGGCTGCATAGGAGGACAGGTGGTTAGCTGAACCCACTTTGGGGAATAGCTCCTGACTCCAGTGACTTAGAGAGGCTCAGAGATGGGTTGTTTTCAGGAAAAATCAGGAGAATGTTATTGAGGAGAGAGGATGAAGGATGAACTGAGCTGATCTGCAGCAAATCAGCTCATTGTATAAATCCAGAGCTATGTCTACACTTGTGGGTTCTTGTGCAAGAACAGCCGTTCTTCCGCAGAGCATCCACACTGCCCTCCCACTCTTGCGCAAGAAGATTTACAGTAAAGCGTGGGAATAGAGGGCTTCTTGCAGAAGAGCTACGCTCTTTTCTAACAAGTGTAAGCTCTCTTGCGCAAGAGGGCAGTGTCGGAGCAGGGATTTCTGGCGCAAGAAAGCCTTATGGCTAAAATGGCCTTCAGAGCTTTCTTGCGCAAGAGAGCATCCACACTGCCATGGATGATCTTGCGCAAAAGTACACGGCAGTGTGGATGTGTTCTTGTGCAAGAGTTCTTGCACAGGAACTCTTGCACAAGAAAACGCCAGTGTGGTACATTGTCTGGTTGAATCAACCACTTTCTGGGGTGCCCCTCAGCATCATTTCACCAGTCAGGTAGGCACTGGGCCAGCTGAAGGGACAAACAGACTCGTGATCAATGCACCGGGTGGGAGCAGGGCTGGATTGGGCTACAGGGGGCCGAAGGCTAATGGAAGGGAAGGGCCAAAGTATGAAGTACGTATTGCTAAAAAAAATTATGAAGTCATCATATTTCTGTAAAATAGGAGGAGAGCTGAGTAGCAGCAGAGACAGCTGGCACCCTGACCCTTGCCCCTTTGTTGCTCCATCCAGCTGCAGCTCACTCAGTGCTTCTGCCTTCTGGAACCCTGTCGCTCCCCCGCCCTCACTTGGCCTACCACAGCAGGAGGGCCTGAAGAATAGAAGGGCCTAAAGCTATAGCCTCATTAGCCTAATGGTTAATCTGGCCCTGAATGGCACTCAGGGGACAGGTTCAATTCCTGGTTTACTACACTTGTCTGGTAGGACCAAAGGCAAGTCCTCAAAGATAGCTGGTGCCTCTCTCCTGTAGAAAGCAATTTGAGGTAGGCATCTAGCTACTTTCAGGAATCCGGCTTTTTAGTCCCTCTCTTTCCTCTCCGCAAAATGAGAATAATGGTACTTCCTTCCAGCCTCCATCCTTCCTTTCTATTTATACGGTGAACTCATTGGGTCCAGGTCTGTCTTTCATTATATGTCTGTGCAACATCTGGCATTATAAGGCGCTGGTCAGAGTCAAGACCTCTGATAGCCACTGTAATACAACTAAGGTTCCTTCACTGAGGTCTTATTTTACAGGCCTTCTTCAGAGGAAGGCTTCTAAGGCAAAAGGAAAACTCACCAGGCAAGGTGCTACTGACTCTACTGGGAAAGCTTTGTCAAGAGGAGCTTTTTGCAATGAAGAGCCCAATCTAAATGCCATGCAGCTCTTGTTTGGGATACAGCCCTAAAACTGGCAAGACACAAAGTCATCTTGATATCCTGCAGTAGGGAGTGCCACAGGTTGGCATCCTTCACCCTGGCTAGGCAAGTGTCCCAATTGATCCTGGTACTGTTGGTGCGAGGCAGAGACAATAGGAGTCAGGGTCTAGTTCTGTGCACTATTCGACTGAAGAGACCAAAAAAAGTTGAGGGTGAGGTGCCTGAGTAGTGCCAGTTTATTCTGAGTAATAAGCAGTAAATCCTGTCCTGACTGATGGGACTTAGTCACCATTTCAAAAGGGAAGAGGGCATCTACGGACTCCTGCTTCTCCCCAGAAGGCAGGGGTTGGCATTCATTTTTGCAATGCGGCCACTTAATGAATTTTGGTACATGGCCATGGGCCAGCTCCACTGCTGGAAGGGGGGGTGGCATGGGTTGGAAGAGGCAGGGCTGGGGACTTTGAATTGTTGAGTTGTTTGGGGATGGAGCCTTTGAACTAAAAACACAGCAAAGAGCTCCCAGTCCTGCTGCTACCCTGTTGCCTGGCAGCTGCCGGAGGTTGTTGCAGCTTTTTAAAGGGGTTGTAGCTCCAGCCCCTGCCAGGGTAGCACCATGATTGGGAGTCATGAGCTATTTCAATAGGATCCCACTGCCTGAGCTACCGTCTGGAAATACTGTGGTGTGAGAAGAAGAGTATGAATAGCAGGCAGCCAGATGCAGTCTGTCAGACAGATCAATGCGTTGGGTGGGCTGGATCCGGCCCCCAGGCTGCATCTTGCCCAGCCCAGCAAATCTGGGGTGAATGTAGCCTCTTAGGCTGCAGGATAAAGGATCTGGGTCTCCCCACCTTGAAATTCCTCTGGGTATTACAGGGCTGATATCCTCTGGGTATTACAGGGCTGATATAACAGCCCCTCACTGCTCCTCCCCTTTGTGTCCTTGGCATAGAGGTGTGCTGGGATACAGCCAAACTGCTCTCACCTCCAGCTCTTCTGGGCTGAGGAATTGGGACTCTTGCAGCCCTTGTACACATTAGAACAGCTCCAGTGGCTGCTTTGGGCTGGGCAGCCCCAAGGGCTCAAAGATGCAGGCGTAGCATACAGCTGTCTTCTCCTCTGGGACGTGCACGGCCCTCATGGGCTGTGGCTGCTGAGAAGTTCGACTAACGGTCAGGGCCTCAGACTGTGAACCAAAACACTGATCCCCTACTGGAGGGTACAGAGCATGTTCTCACAGCCCTGAAATTCATGAGAGTTACTCACCCCCTACAATAGGAGAATTCAAGCTGGAGCCCTAACACTGGAGTCTGTCTCTGTTTCAGGCCTGTCATTGTTTTCCAAGGACACATCATGTGTGCCCTAAATTCTTTACAGTGGATGAGAAGCTGGATACGAGGCAACAGTATGTTCTTACTCCTTGTAGCCAAAAAGGCTAACGGCATATTGGGGTGCGTTAGTAGGAGCATTTCCAGCAGATAGAGGGAAGGGATTATTCCCCTTTATTCAGCACTGGTGAGGCCGTATCGGGTGTACAGTATTGTGTGCAATTCTGGGGGGCCTACTACAGAAAGGAGGTAGACAAATTGGAGAGAGTCCAGGGGAAGGCAACAAAAATGCCTATGAGGCTGGAGCACATGACCTATGAGGAGAGGCTGTGGGATTTGGGCTTATTTAGTCTGCAGAGGAGAAGGGTGAGCAGGGATTTGATAGCAGCCTTCAACTTTTGAAGGGAGGTTCCAGAGAGGATGGAGAGAAGCTGTTCTCAGGGGTGACAGATGGCAGAACAAGGAGCAATGGTCTCAAGTTGCAGGGGAGAGGTCTAGTTTGGATATTAGGAAAAACTGTTTCACTAGGAGGGTGATGAAGCACTGGGATGGGTTATCTAGGGTGGTGGTGGAATCTCTATCCCTACAGGTTTTTAAGTCCCGGCTTGACAAAGCCATGGCTGGGATGATTTAGTTGGGGTTGGTCCTGCTTTGGGAAGAGGGTTGGACTCAGTGACCTCATGGGGTCTCTTCCAAACCTATCATTCTATGATTCTTTAGAACCTTCTGTGGCTAAGAATAGGTCAATAGGTTCTACTCTGCTCCACCCATTTCTTAATACCTGCCCTGAACATTTAGTTATGCTTTTGCCAAACCCACAGGTCAGCGTCACCAATGTCAACTATCTATCCAGTAAACCAAATTTCAATCCCTAGAAAATAGAACAAATATTAAGAGAAACAAAAATCTGTAAAAGACGATAGAATAATGGAACCACCCTTCTGGCAAAATTCAGAACCTCTAGCTGATCACTGGAAAACTTCTTGCCTACTAAACCAATGGGCGTATGTTATATATTGATCAAAAGCTTCCTCGGAGAGATTTTGCTGTCAATTCCAACGGTGTAAACTGAGAGTGATGCCAGTGGAGCGACTTCAGGTTTGCACTGGTATGTGCCTGACACTGGAATTTGTCTCTTGGTCTGTTGATGTCAGAGGTGACTTTTGTTTACATCCGTCGGCTAACTGGTGACCCACTGGGATGACTGGCAGCAGCACCTAATTTGTAATGAATGAGGTTCTGGGGCTCAAGCAATTTTCTTAATTCATAACTGATGCTGCAAGCGCAGAGATGCTGGAGCTGTGAATAGGGATGTGAATAGTTACTGGAAAAGCTCCCCACCCAACTTGGGCAGGGGGCTGCTCCAGCCCCACAGGGCTCATTGTGGGCACAGATGCTCCAGCCGGCCAGAACAGGCCCTGTCCGTGGTGGTGGTGGAGGGCACTCCAGTCTGGGTGTAGCATGTAGAGGGTGGGGAGATGGTCCCCTGTCCATTCCCCTGTTAATTGGTTAACCGGTTAGATATTGCATTTAATGGGTTAACTATTACAGTTAAACAGTTAGCCGAATAAAGAGGATTTTACATCCCTACAGTGAACTGCCAAACCTAGAGATATTGGGGCTAAGCCCTGGCACCAATTAAGCACTGCCTGGCAGATCTTGCCACAATGGTAGATTTACTTTTTGCAACTCTCTGGAGTACCAGTTTCTTTAGCAAAGCAGAGATGGTGGCAAGCAGTGTTTAGCCAGTGAAGTTTCCTGTTGATTTTTTTTGCCCCTATTTTTTAATTGGAACAGATGGAGTTTGATTTTCTCACAATTATCATGTGCTGAGAATAACAGCACTT